GGTCCTGAGTCTGCTCCCTGCTCGTGTCGTCTCCTGTCCCACCAGACTCTCCTCTGGCACCACCGCCTTGGTCACCCCTCCCTGCCTCATCTCCGAGGCATGGCCTCCCGTGTCCTTGTCTCTGGTCTCCCCCGGTCTCTCCCTCCCCTACCTCCGGGGCCTGCCCCTACCTGCGTCCCCTGCGTCGAGGGGCGACAGCGCGCCGCCCCTCACTCCTCCGAGTTTCCTCCGACAGAGGCTCCGCTGCAGACTCTTCACATGGACGTGTGGGGCCCCGCCCGTGTCCGTGGCCAGGGGCACGAGCGTTACTTCCTGTTGGTGGTCGACGACTACTCGCATTACACCACAGTCTTCCCCTTGCGCAGCAAGGGCGACGTCACTGAGGTGTTGATCGACTGGATCCGCGCAGCTCGTCTCCAGCTCAGAGAGAGTTTCGGCTCGGACTTTCCTGTTCTGCGTCTACACTCTGACAGAGGCGGGGAGTTTTCCTCTGCCCGTCTGGGAGCCTTCTGTCACGCACAGGGCATCCGCCAGACCTTCACGCTTCCGGCCTCTCCACAGCAAAATGGGATTGCTGAGCGCCGCATTGGCATGGTCATGGACGTCGCTCGTACGTCCATGATCCATGCGGCTGCCCCCCATTTTCTGTGGCCGTTTGCGGTTCAGTACGCAGCGCATCAGCTCAACCTCCAGCCCCAGGTCTCCTTGCCAGAGACCTCCCCCACCCTGCGGTGGACGGGGAAGGTTGGCGATGCGTCTGCGTTTCGGGTCTGGGGATCTCGGGCGTTTGTTCGCGACTTGTCTGCGGACAAGCTGTCCCCCCGTGCTGTTCCCTGCGTCTTCCTTGGCTTCCACCCTGACGCGCCTGGGTGGCAGTTTTACCACCCCACCTCGCGCCGTGTTCTGTCCTCCCAGGACGTCACCTTTGACGAGTCGGTGCCTTACTACCGTCTCTTCCCCTACCGCACTGCGCCCCTCCCCCCGCCGCCGCTCTTCCTTGCGCCAGGTCCTCCCCCGGTAGACCCCCTCCCCCCTCAGGGTCCTGCCCCGTTAGGTGTGTCTCAGGTAGACGCAGTCGAGCCTGTCGAGGTAGCTGTTGACTCTGGTGCTGCTGCTAGAGGTGCTGAACCTGCGGGTGTCGGGTCTGGAGGTGCTGAGACTGGGGGTGCTGAGTCTAGGGGTGCTGAGCCTGGGGGTGCTGAGTCTGGGGGTGCTGAGCCTGGGGGTGCGGAGCCTGGGGGTGCTGAGCCTGGGGGTGCTGAGCCTGGGGGTGCGGAGCCTGGGGGTGCTGGGTCTGCTCGTGTGGCCTCTCGCGGTGCTTCGTCGAGGCGGGAGCCACTCTCTCCGCAGGAGCTGCGCGAGTGGTTTGCCCGGCGCTGGAGCCGTGCTGCTGGAGCTGGAGGTACTACTGTTGCTGCTGGTCTTGGAGTTGCTCGTACTGGCGGTACTGGAGCTGCTGGGGCTGAGGGTGCTGCTGGGGCTGCTGGAGTTAGTCCTGCTGGAGGTACTACTGGAGCTGCTGGCGGTACTGGAGCTGCCCGTCCTGCTGGAGTTGGTGCTGCTGGAGCTGCTGGAGCTGGAGCTGCTGGGGGTGTTGGCGCTGGTAGTTCTGCTGGTGCTGGTGCGTCTGAGGGTGCTGGAGTTGGCGCTGTTGGAGCTGGAGGTGCTGCTGGCGCTGGTGCTGCCGCTGAGGATACTGGTGCTGTCCCTGCTGGTTCTGGAGGCGCTGCGCGGCCGAGGCCGTACTTCGTTCCGCTCCTGGAGCAGGTTCTTGGTCTCCCGCCCTCTACTGGTCCTGCTCCTTCCTTAGAGTGTCCACAGCCTGTCCATTCGCGGTCACAGTTACAGCCCGCCTCCCCCCTACCTGCTCCTTCTCCCTACACTGGTCCTACTGGAGGTCTTGCTGAGCGTCGTGAGCCTGCGTCTCGTCCTGCGTCGCCTGTTCGTGCTGCTCGCACTAGTCGTCGTGCTCCGCGTCCGCGTCCTCCTGCGGTCCCAGGCACACACCAGATGGCACTGCGTCCTTCCACTGCTCCTCTGCGTGTCCCGTTGCCGTCTCCTCCAGAGTCCTCTCTTCCTGTTCTTGCTGACCCGGAGTCTGACTCTCTTCGTGCTGCCAGTCCTACTGTCACGCGTCTCCTGGCCACTGCTGTCACTGACCCTTCCTTTGAGTCCACTGCTGCGTCGGCCCTAGTTGCTGAGCTTGTCGACTTTGCTGCTCGCTGTCGTCTAGACTACGCTGCTAGTCTTGTTGCTGAGTCTGAGTCTGTCTGTCCTCCGTCCGTCGGGGGTGAGTGTGCTCTTAGCACGGACGTCCTTGAGGACAGGCAGGAGGAGTTCCAGTGTTTTGCCTCATCTCGTGTCCACGCTGATTGCCCCTGAGGTAGACCCGGATGCACCAGACATCCCGACTCCTCGATCGTACGCTGAGGCGATCGAGGGTCCCTACTCCTCTCAGTGGCAGTCAGCCATGGACGCAGAGATGGTTTCCTGGAAGTCCACAGGCACCTACGTCGACGAGGTTCCCCCACCTGGGGCGAACATCGTCAGTGGCATGTGGATCTTCAGGGTGAAGCGGCCGCCGGGTTCTCCGCCTGTCTTCAAGGCGCGTTACGTGGCTCGAGGCTTCAGTCAGCGGCATGGAGTTGACTACTTTCAGACCTTCTCTCCCACCCCGAAGATGACCACTCTTCGGGTGCTGCTGCACATAGCCGCTCAGCGCGACTACGAGCTTCACTCTCTTGACTTCAGCACAGCTTTCCTGCAGGGCAGCCTGCACGAGGAGATCTGGCTGCGCCGCCCACCTGGCTTCACTGGGTCGTTTCCTCCTGGTACCCAGTGGAGCCTCCGGCGGCCAGTCTACGGTCTCCGCCAGGCGCCCCGTGAGTGGCACGACACACTGAGGACTACACTTGCGGCTCTTGGGTTTGCTCCTTCTACTGCCGACCCGTCGCTGTTTCTGCGCACCGACACCTCTTTGCCGCCGTTCTACATCCTCGTGTACGTCGACGACTTGGTCTTTGCCACTGCTGACACTGCTGGACTCGCCCACGTGAAGTCCGAGCTGCAGAAGAGACACACATGCACAGACCTGGGTGAACTGCGCAGCTACCTTGGCTTGCAGATCACCCGGGACAGAGCACAGCGCACCATTACCCTGACTCAGTCACACATGGTGCAGCAGGTCCTTCAGCGCTTCGACTTCGCGTACTCCTCGCCTCAGGCCACTCCTCTGTCTACTCGCCACTCGCTCTCAGCTCTGCCTTCGGATGAGTCCGTAGAGCCGAGTGGCCCGTACCCAGAGCTTGTTGGCTGCCTCATGTACCTGATGACCTGCACTCGACCTGACCTTGCATACCCTCTTAGCATCTTGGCACGCTATGTTGCTCCTGGGAGACACCGACCAAAGCACATGGCTGCAGCGAAGAGGGTGTTGCGCTACTTGTGCAGTACGTCGGGCATGGGGCTAGTGCTTGGAGGGCGACGTCGAGTGGTCCTCACCGGTCACGCTGACGCTTCTTGGGCTGACGACCAGGCTACGCAGCGGTCGTCACAGGGTTACACCTTCAGCCTTGGCTCCGGCTCTGTTTCGTGGCGGTCTACCCGCTCTTCTTCTGTTCTCGGCTCCAGCTGTGAGGCTGAGATCTACGCGGGGGCCATGGCTGCACAGGAGCTACGCTGGCTCACCTACCTGCGGACTGACCTAGGAGAGCCGCCTCGTTCTCCTCCAGTTCTGTACGTAGACAACAAGGCCATGCTGGCCTTGTGTCGAGAGCACAGACTGGAGCACAGAACGAAGCACATTGCTCTTCGCTACTTCCTTGCTCGTGAGCTGCAGCAGCGTGGTCAGCTGCGCCTTGCTTACATGGCCTCTGAGGCCAACACTGCTGATATCTTTACCAAGGCACTTCCGCCTTGTGATCATCAGCGCTTCTGTACGATGCTAGGTCTTGTGCCTACTTGGCCTCACTTGCTGACTTCTTGACCTTGCTTGTACTGTGATCTTTCTATACCTGCACTTGCTTGTTTACCTTTATATATGATCTTGCATGTGAACTGGCCTTTTGGCCTTGCTCTTGTGCTCGGATTGTGTGGTGACTTTGTGATCCACCCTGAGCTTGCCTTGCTTTGCTTGACTGGTCTTGTTGTTGGTGCAACCCTACGGTTTGCACTCGGCTTGTTGTCCGTGTGCGTGAATGTGTGTGTGTATGGAATGGTATGAGGGCATGGGATAATATATATTTCATGCTTATAATTGTGTGTGAATGTTGAGTCATGATGTCGAGTGTGTGTGTCGAGTCAATAGCGAGTTATCGCTAGACGCGTGTTACGCGGTCGTTTGTGTCTCGCGCGCGGTTTCTATTTTGTCGTGCGCGGTTTCTATTTTGTCCTGTGTCGAACGTTCGGCGTGTCGCAGGTGTGTGCAGCAGACCCATCAAGAACTCAAGGATGAGTTTGTGATGAAGAGCCCGAGCCTTGGTGTCAAGCCTCAAGTGATTTCGAAGCTCGCCAAAAAGGGTACACCTCAAGATATTGAAGATAGTTACATTACTTTGTGTAGTGTAACATTTCACTTGGTGTAGGCCCTAGTGAAGGGTAGTTTCGAGACCCTTCGTGGTTGGGGACAGTGTGGCACTGTTCCACATCACTGTACCTCGGCTCTTGGGGTTTGTAGGAGCTGGGAGTCATTCCCAACTCGTAACTCTTCCTATCTTGTGTTCTAAGACTATAGTTGCTGCCATAGTACCGTTCGTTCAAACCGACGCTGTGTCGTCAATTCTTTATCAACTCGTGCAATCTAAATTGCTAATTGTAGACGACGTGAAGACGCTCCAGATCCAATTTGAATCAAGTCATTTGCAGCTGTGAGCAGAACGCTATCAACGTTTGAAGCCGCTGTGCAGAAATCCGTCTGTGCTCTCTATCTTTCGTTTTAGGCACATTCAAGCCTATTGTGACTATAACAAGTGGTATCAGAGCCCCTTGGAGCAGTTTCGACAATGTCTGGACCTGAGGAAAGGGGTGGCAGAGGTGCTGGTGGCAGTGGAGAAGCTCAAGCTCAAGGCCAACCCCGTGATTCAGCCATGGCGCCCATGCAACCAAGTCTTGGCCCACCTAGGGATGAGCCTAGGGTGTTTGGGCTTGACAAGTTCAACGGTGACAACTTTGCTGAATGGTCCTTCAAGATGGAGAACATCTTTGACCACTATGACCTGCTGGAGGTGATGGAAGGTACGGAGAAGCGCCCCGAGAACGACCCGGAGAAGAGCCCGTGGGTGCGGAAGAGCGCACAAGGCTATCTCTTACTTGGGCAAGCGTTGGGGAGCAGTCAGATCCGTCACATCAAGCCATTCCAGCGTGAACCAGAGAAAGGACCAAAGGCATGGGCTGCTCTCAAGGGTGTACATGCTCCTGCAACAGCGGCGGTAGCGGTGGTGTTGGAACGGCAAATGGCGGCACTACGAATTGAAGAAGACGAAGCGGTTGAAGAAGGGGTGCAGAAATTCTTCGACTTGTTGACGCGGCTTGAGGGAGCTGATTTGAACTACAGTGAGCTCCAAAAGAAGACCAAGTTGCTGGCCTTACTCCCAGAGTCATGGTCCTCGCTCATCATCAACCTTAATCGCGACTTGCCCCGCCTCTCGCTTGAAGACGTGAAGCGAGCTATCCTTCAAGAGGATTTCCGCCGCCGTGAGTTGGCGAGTGCGGATGGCGCTGGGGCAGCGAGCATCGGCCGTGGATATGGTCGAGGAAGAGGCAGAGGACGAGGGGGAGGAAGGTTTGGTGGCAGCAACTTCGGCGGAGGCCGCAGGAGTGGCGGTTACGGCAGCGACGACAAGAGCTACGGACGCGGTCGCGGCCGATTCGACGGCGAGTGTCACTATTGCCACAAGAGCGGACACATGTGGCGCGACTGCTACAAACTCCCTGATGGTTGGACCCCTGCTCAAGGCCAAGAGGGTAGAGGAGCAGGAGGAGGGAGAGGACGAGGCCGTGGAGGCCGTGGCGGTCGGGGTGGCGGAGCTGCAAACATGAAGAGCGGAGACAACGACAAGGACCCGAGCGACGATCGATACCCGGGTCTATTCTACTTCGTGTCGACGCAAGTACCGACTGGTCCAGAGAAGGATGAAGGCTTTGAGGAGCCAGCAGCTGTGGGGAAGGTGACCCTACACCCCCTGGACTATTGGGTGATTGATAGTGGCGCTACCTATAGCATGACACCTCGCCCGGACTTGCTCACCGAACTCGAGCCGTCACCGGTGAAGCATGTCACATCGGCTTTGGGGCAGCGAGCAGAGGTGAAAGGCATGGGCAAGGCCATGTTCAAGGGTGCTGATGGGAAGATGGTGGGCCTCAAGAACGTGCTTTGGGTGCCCAGCCTTGCTGCAAACCTGATTTCCGTGCGGCGGTTGGCAAAGGCCGGCATGGACACGAACTCGAAGGGAGCCAAGACCTACACCGCAAGGCTTGGCGATCGAATTCTTTGGGACCTTCATGAGGACAGGGATGTCTACAACGAGATGTGGCAGATCCCAGTGGTCCCTATGCCTAAGGAGAGGCAAGTGGCAGCAAGCATCAGCACCAAGGATGGAGCGGTCGGTAGCGACGATGGCGCGAACGGTCGCGCTAAGGAGAATGAGCTCAAGAAGAGCAAACCTGGAGGGACCAGCAAGTTTAGTGAACCTAAGGAGAGTGGTGCAGCAACCAAGGAGCAGCAAAAGGGTGAGGAGAACCCAGAGGCAGCAGCGGAGGAGGACTACGGAGAGAGTATGTGGGGCGCTATTGCGAGCGCGGCATTCTCCAATCCAACTTCGGCTACGGGGGAGTGTGATTGGCTCACCTTGCATCGGCGCATGGGGCATGTGGCCCTGCCCATCTTGCAGCAGCTAGTGAAGAATGAGATGGTTGCTGGCATACGTGTGAAGGGGGAGCCCGATGAGGTGCTTGGCTGCCCGACGTGCATTCAAGCCAAGTTCACCCGGTTTCCGTTCCCTAGTTCGGAGGCAACGGCAAAGGCACCGCTTGATGAGGTGGTGATGGATGTGGTGGGCCCCCTGAAGCTTGGAGCTGCTGGAGCTGAGTATTTTCTCACCATTGTCGACGTCTACACCCGCATGACTTGGGTGTACGTGCTGGCCAAGAAGAGCGACGTGGCTGAAACGTTGAAGACGGATTGGTTTCCGATGGTGGAGCGGCAACAAGACCGTCTAGTCAAGTCAATCCGCACCGATCGAGGGGGAGAGTTCCTGAGCAAGGAGTTTGGGTTGTGGCTGAAGAAGAATGGTATTCGGCACTCTCTCACCATGCCATACTCCCCTGAAATGAACGGCATCGCCGAGCGAGCGAACCGCACAATCACGGAGGCGGCACGCGGGTTGCTCATTGAAGCCGGGCTACCCGACTATTTCTGGCCTGATGCGGTGCGGAGCGCGTGTGTGGCCAAGAACAGAGCATTGACTCATGTGGGAGCAGACAAATGGGTGCCCTATGTGGAGTGGCTAGGAAGGAAGCCAAAGGTGGATATGCTTCGGGTGTTCGGGTGCATGTGCATGGCGCTCGTGCCTAAGCATCTTCGGCACAACAAGCTTGGTGCCAAGGCGGTGTGGGCCGTGCACTTGGGCATGGCTCAAAACAGCAAGGGATGGCTTCTTTGGGACCCATTCACCAAGAAGTTCTTGGTGAGCAGGGACTGCAAGTTCATGGAGAACTTCATGTACAAGGATTGGAAGGCGGAGAATGAGGCGAAGATAGGCGTGCGGTTTGGGGAGGTGAAGAGTTCCGGTTTGGAGCATGTGGAGCTGCCTTTGGAGCTGAGCAGCGGCAGCACAACCACAAGGCAATCCTCCCTTGTGAATGGGGGAGAGGAGGCCAATGATGCAGAGGAAGAAGAGGAGGAGGTGCAGCAAGTGAGCGAGCGTGCACCGTCACTCCCTTCCCGTAGCAACGCCAAGGCCTTCAAGTCCCTGCAGCTGAGGAGGAAGGAAGGGGGAAGAGGAGAGTTCAACCCCCTAATAGGCTGACCTATGATGCGCCGGGAAAGCAGGGCAAGACAGCCCTGGCCGGAGCGGCAATGATGGTCGGAGACGACGAGGAGAGTGACTACGAGGAGTGTGCCTTCGCGTTCTTCTCTCCGGTGGAGATGCCGGGAGAACCAGCAACTCTCAAGGAGGCTTTGGAGAGTAGTGATGCTGAGGAGTGGAAGAAGGCCATGGAGAGTGAGCTGAAGAGCATCGAGGAGAATGACACGTTTGAATTGGTGGAGCTACCGGAGGGGCGTACGGCGATAACATCCAAGTGGCTCTTCAAAATCAAGTCGGATGCCGACGGCAAGATCGAGCGCTACAAGTCTAGGCTTGTAGCCAAGGGGTACCAGCAGAAGGAGAAGGTGGACTTCAAGGAGCTGTTTGCCCCTGTGGTGAAGCCGACGACGCTGCGAACCCTATTCGCGGGAGCCGCCATCAAAGGATGAGTAGTAAAGCAAATGGACATCGTAACGGCATTCCTTAACGGCATCCTTGAGGAGGAGATTTTTATGGCGCAGCCAGAGGGGTTTGATGATGGTAGTGGCAGAGTGTGGAAGCTGAAGAAGGCCCTCTATGGGCTGAAGCAGGCCCCTAGGCAATGGTACATGAAGCTGCGCGAAGTGTTGGAGGGGATCGGCTTCACTCCCTCAACGGCCGATCACTCCTTGTTCATGCTTGGCGAGGGGGAGCAGAGGAGTTTCATGGTGGTTTATGTGGATGACATCCTCATTTTCTCACCCTCTTCTGACCTTGTGAAGGAGGTGATGCTGAAGCTTCAAGACAAGTTCAAGTGCAAGGCCCTTGGTGACGTGAGCTTCTACCTTGGGCTCCACATCGAACGAGATGTGGAGAAGCGGTGCATGCGGGTGCATCAACGAAAGTACCTGGAGGCATTGGCTGCCAACTTTGGGCAGAGTGAAGGCCATGTGGCTACACCCTTTCCCTCTGGGTTCAAGTGTGTGAAGGGACCAGAGGAGGAGAGCGTTGGTGAAGAGGAGAGGCGCCGATTTCACTCGTTGGTGGGCAGCCTCATGTATGCGGCGGTAAACACCCGACCGGACGTCGCGTTTGCTACCGGGCAGCTGGCTAGGGTTGTGCAATGCCCTAATGAGGAGCAGGTAGCAGCTGGAATGAGGGTGGCCAAGTATCTTGGCCAAACACCGACCGTTGGGCTGCAATACTCGGCGGCGGCACAAAGGCGCCAAAAGGGCGCGGATGGTGTTGAACCCGGGCGTTTGTTCCTCACCGCCTACTCGGATGCTTCATATGCATCAGAACCAGAGGACATGACAAGTGTGGGAGGCTTCATATGCTGTGTTGGTGGAGGCCCAACTGCTTGGGAGAGCAAGAAGCAGGTTGACCAAGCTTTGAGCTCGGTGGAGTCCGAGTACATGGCACTCTTCCGTGCCGTACGGGAGATTGTGTGGCAGCGGCGTTTGTTGGCTGAATTGGGGGAGGAGCAGCAAGGACCTACCCCACTGTACTGTGACAGCCAGGGTGCCATTGCTCTTGCTAAGAACCCTGTGTTGCATGGACTCACGAAGCACATGAGGGTGAAGTGGCATTGGACGAGGAGCATGGTAACCGCGGGTGAAGTTGAGTTGCGCTACGTGAAGACCACGGGGCAGCCGGCTGACATGATGACCAAGAGGCTGGTGGAGCAGCAGCATTGGAAGTGTTGCAAGTTGGCTGGGATGGCTCTGAACTGAGAGAGCAACATATCCTAAGGCCAACAATCCGAGGGGGAGTTTGTTGGTGCAACCCTACGGTTTGCACTCGGCTTGTTGTCCGTGTGCGTGAATGTGTGTGTGTATGGAATGGTATGAGGGCATGGGATAATATATATTTCATGCTTATAATTGTGTGTGAATGTTGAGTCATGATGTCGAGTGTGTGTGTCGAGTCAATAGCGAGTTATCGCTAGACGCGTGTTACGCGGTCGTTTGTGTCTCGCGCGCGGTTTCTATTTTGTCGTGCGCGGTTTCTATTTTGTCCTGTGTCGAACGTTCGGCGTGTCGCAGGTGTGTGCAGCAGACCCATCAAGAACTCAAGGATGAGTTTGTGATGAAGAGCCCGAGCCTTGGTGTCAAGCCTCAAGTGATTTCGAAGCTCGCCAAAAAAGGGTACACCTCAAGATATTGAAGATAGTTACATTACTTTGTGTAGTGTAACATTTCACTTGGTGTAGGCCCTAGTGAAGGGTAGTTTCGAGACCCTTCGTGGTTGGGGACAGTGTGGCACTGTTCCACATCACTGTACCTCGGCTCTTGGGGTTTGTAGGAGCTGGGAGTCATTCCCAACTCGTAACTCTTCCTATCTTGTGTTCTAAGACTATAGTGGCTGCCATAGTACCGTTCGTTCAAACCGACGCTGTGTCGTCAATTCTTTATCAAATCGTGCAATCTAAATTGCTAATTGTAGACGACGTGAAGACGCTCCAGATCCAATTTGAATCAAGTCATTTGCATCTGTGAGCAGAACGCTATCAACGTTTGAAGCCGCTGTGCAGAAATCCGTCTGTGCTCTCTATCTTTCGTTTTAGGCACATTCAAGCCTATTGTGACTATAACACTTGTGACCTCTTGTTCTCCCCCACTTTGCCTATGGGGGTGTGTCAAACTCATATGATATAGCTTGTCTAGGCTATAGTGGGGTAGACACTATGGGGTACAGTTTCCTAGGGTTTCCTACTTGTAGCCAACCTTGTGCTAGTTCATTCATTCCTCATTCTTTCACACACCTACGGTCGGGTTACTGGCAGATCATGATGGCGGACAACTCAATCCATAAGAAGGCGTTCCATACCAGATACGGCTCCTACAAATACTTAGTGATGCCGTTCGGACTCTGCAATGCACCAGCAACGTTCCAAGAAGAGATGAACCATATTCTACGGCCCCTGCTGGACGAGTGCGTAGTTGTGTACCTAGACGACATACTCATCTACTCCAGGAACATGAAAGAGCACGTGGAGCATCTGCGGAAGGTGTTCGAGATCTTACGGAATAATAAGTTCTACGTGAAGCTGTCAAAGAGCGACTTTGCACTAAAGAAGGTGCAGTTTCTCGGGCACATGGTGAGCGCCGAAGGCGTACACATGGACGCGCGGAAGATCGAAGCCGTTAAGAAGTGGAAAGTGCCGGAGAATGTGAAGGAGTTGCAGCAGTTTCTAGGCTATGCCAACTACTACAACAGGTTCGTGCCACAGTACGTTAAGATAGCAGCACCACAAAAGGATACGCCCTTCAAATGGGATACTCCTCATCAGCAAGCCATGGAACAGCTCCAGACAGCACTGACCACAGCGCCAGTACTCATCCTACCGGACCCAGACAAAGACTACGTAGTTGAAGCAGATGCTAGTGACCAGGCAGTCGGAGCAGTACTGATGTAGGACGATGGACACGGGTTACAGCTTATCGCTTACCTCAGTAAGAAGCTACACGGAGCAGAACTGAACTACCCCATTCACGACAAGGAAGCCTTAGCCATAGTCGTAGCCTTCAAGGCGTGGAGGTGTTACCTAGGGGGAGCCAAGATCACAGTCTATACTGACCACTGCAGCCTCAAACACCTGAAGTCGCAGCCGACGCTTTCACGATAACTGGTGCAGTGGGTAGATTTCTTGGAGACCCACTTCCACTACGACATCGTCTACAAACCCGGGCTACACAACAAAGCTGACGCGTTGAGCCGCCCCGGTCATGTAGCAGGCATCCAGCTCGACGGGATGAACCCTCTGCTCAAGGGTCTATTCCAACATGGGTACTCCGTGGACGCAGAGATAGCAACGGCAGAGAAACAGAAGCTGTTACAGTGGGAGAAAGACTTAGCGGTAAGGAAAGGCTCAGGAAGAATTTGGGTACCGAATTACGCCCCGCTACGGCAGATCCTATTGGAGGAGTTTCACGACATTTCGGGAGCAAAAAAACGTTAGCGGGAATAGCAAAGTATTACTATTGATCCCGGATGGCAGCAGACGTGTAGCAGTTTGTCACGTCATGCGACACATGTCAACGGATGAAGAGTAGTAAGCAGAAAAAAGGAGGGTTACTTCAGCCTCTATCCGTACCGGAGCAGCCATGGCAGATTGTTAGCCTCGACTTCATCACAGGACTTCCTTCGACCTCACGACGGCATGACGCCATCCTCGTCGTGATCGATAAGTTCTCCAAAATGGGTCACTTCATCCCGACCAACGCCACAGCTACAGCTGAAGCAACTGCTCGACTCTTCTTCGACCGCATCATCACCATCCACGGCACCCCCCTACACTCATCTCAGATAGAGACCCCAAATTCACGAGTAAGTTCTGGAAGGAGCTCATGGGACTGTTGGGGACTAAGCTTGCGATGTCTTCAGCATACCATCCTTAGACAGACGGACAGACAGAGTGACTCAATCAAGTGGTTGAACAGTTACTGCGCACAGCTTGCAAGGACGACGTCAGCCACTGGGACACACAGTTACCGACCCTAGAGTTCGCCTACAACAACGCATCACATGCGGCCACAGAGAAAACTCCTTTCTTCCTGTGTTACGGACGGGAACCACTCACCCCACAGCAGCCAACCACACCGGCACACGTCCAAGCCGCACACGACTTCGTCACCACCATGCAATAGCTATGGGAGAAGACTCAGCAGCGTCTTACAACGATGCAGAGCTCCTAGAAGCGGTATGCCGATCGCCAGCGACGTGATCACATGGTAGCAGTCGGATATCAGGTGCTTCTCGACACGCGCAACTTGAACCTGTCTCACCTACCATCCAAGCTCCGGCCTCGCTTCTGTGGTCCTTTTCTCATAGAGACACAGGTGACACCAGTTACATTCCGCTTGCGCTTATCAGATTCATGGAAGCTTCACAACGCTTTCCATGTTCAGCTACTGAAACCCTACAAGGTCCCCAACCAATAGTTCCAGGGATGGCAGCTACCGCCACCACCACCTGTACTCGTACAGGATGAACTAGAGTACGAGATCGAGCATGTTCTCACTCATCTGCGTCGAGGCGGCAAGGCCCTCGAGTTCCTAATACGCTGGAAGGGATACAACCCCACTAAGGACAGTTGGGTTGCAGAAGCTGATATGGGCAACGCACGCCGTGCTCTCAAGGACGATCTTGTCAAGCAGGGTGTATCTCACACCACCCAGCTTTGAGGGGGGGACGTGTGAGAGTACGACGGCTTATGCCAGCTATGCTTGCTTGCCTTTACTTTATTATTCTATTCCTAACATAGGTTTATTTTATGGATGCATGAATTGCTTGATTTCCTAGGCTAGGTGCTTTCCTATATTCTATTATAGTTATAGAACCGAGCTAGGTTGCGTACACCAAATTCTGGGCTTCTCAGTTGCCACCGAATTGCCTTCTACCGAATTCGGGAAGGATGTGTTCGGGACGCTTCGCGACCCTCAGAACCTTCGCGTAACACCTGGGTACTGGGCCTTGTGTCGAGCCTATATATAGCCTCGTGTTGTACCCAGGTGATGATTCAATTCAAACCCACTTTTCTGAGCTCGATCCTAGATCCTCACAGACGAGGTTCCCCCTCGCAGAAAGAGAGAAGCTCGTCTACTGAATCTCCCAGTAACACTCCTCCTCCACCACCAGCCTCTGGACTGCAGACAGAGAGAGGCACAACCCAAGGACCAGCAGCTGAGCCTACTGAAACTCCAGCCAGTCAAGCTACCGGCTTCGACCCAAGCATGATGGAGACGTTTTTCTCCTTCATGTCGTTCTACGAGCAACACCAACAGTCAAACAACAGCGACAACAACGACGGATTCATTCCCATGAGCCTTGACGGTTCATCATTTGCACGCGGAAATCAGCAACCTACCTTCGCACCGTATGAGCCTCAACGTGGCTCTGTCAGCTTCATGCCGAATCGACTCCCACCTGGACAAGAAACAAAGACATTGGACGCACTTCAGCTGTAGTCACAGTTTGCACACATCCTGAAACTACAAACATCAACACCATTTGACGGCAAAGACTTTTATACCTGGTGTTTTGAGTTCGAGCTAATATGGAGGGCGCTCACATTCTTGGCTTCTTCGACGGTTCCCTGCCATACCCAACACACGGAACGCAGTACGACAAGCAGCAGTACACGTATCAGTCACTAATGGTGTATAACATACTCCTGCGCAACATAACGCCAAATGAGCAGTAGAACATCTGATCTTATCGCGAATATGGCAACTCCGCCGAACTCGTGTACAACCATCTGAAGAACCTGTATCAGGCAACCTCTCATAGTGTCAAATGTTATATCTGCTACAGTTGTTTAGGCTGTAGTGGGGTATATACTATGGGGTATGATAACTTTAGGGTTTCCTACTTGTACCCCACACTTTTCCTAGTCCAATCACTTCTCATTCTCAACATGGTATTAAGAGCCTAGGTTAGGGACCTAGGACCGCTTACCTAAGGGCCCACCGATCCACTACAGGTGCCCTCGTGCGCCCTACCGTCTTAGCGCCCTCGAGCGCCTCTCTCCTAGTGCGCCCTCGCGCGCCCTCCTCTCACGCTGCTCGTTTTGCAGCCCGCTAGCAGCCCGAGCGCGGCCCCGCGTTTTTAGCGCGAGTAGCCAATTCGCCGCCTAGGGCGGCCCGATTTTTCTCGCGCGCACCAGTAGGCCGTCGCCCGTAGGCCCCGCTCGCCCCTAGGCCGACGCTCGACCCACCGCCGCCCGCCCGCA